CCCTCGACCTGCTGGCCACGCTGCTCTTGATGCATCCCAGGATACGACTGGCTTTCTGGTCTGCAAGCGCACATTGCCGGCTCATGTTGAGCTTCTCACCCACGAGTACCCCCAAGTCCTTCTCCTGAGGGCTGCTCTCGAGCCACTCTCCACCCAGCCTGTACTTTGGGATTACCCCAACCCACGTGCAGGACCTTGCACTTGGCCTTGTTGCAGTTCATGCGGTTCACGCAGGCCCCCCTCTCCAGCCTGACAAGGTCCCTCTGGATGGCATCCCTTCCCTCCAGCGTGTCAACCACACCACACAGATTGGTGTCGTCAGCAAACTTGCTGAGGGTGCACTCAGTCCCGCTGTCCATGTCGCCGACAAAGATATCGAACAGCACCGGCCCCAGTACCAACCCATGAGGCACACCACTCGTCACTGGTCTCCATCTGGACATTGAGCCATTGATTGCAACTCTTTTGACTGCGTCCATTGAGCCAGATCCTTACCCAACGAGTGGTCCATCGGTCAAATCCATGTCCTTACAATTTAGAGATAAGGACATCACGCGGTACAGTGTCGAATGCCTTGCACGAGTCCAGGTAGACTATGTCAGTTGTCTGCCCTTTGTCCAACAACGCTGTAACCCCATCACAGAAGGATACCAAGTTGGTCAGGCACGACTTGCCCTCGGTGAAGCCATGTTGGCTGTCCCCAATCACCTCCTTGTTATCCATGTGCCGTAGTGTGGTTTTGAGCGGGATCTGCTCCATCATTTTGCCAGGCAGAGGTGAGGCTGACTCGCCTGTAGTTCCCTGGGTCTTCCTTTTTTCCCTTTTTAAAAATGGCGTTGATGTTGCCCCTTCTCCAGTGGGTGGGGACCTCCCCAGACCGCCACGACCTCTCAAATATGATGGAGAGTGGTTTGGCAACTTTGTCCACCAGTTCCCTCAGGACCTGTGACTGCATCTCATCAGGCCCCATGGACTTGTGCACCTTCAGGTTCCTTAGGCAGTCTCAAACCTGGTCTTCTCCTACAGTGGGCGGTTCTTCATTCTCCCAGTCCCCACCTTTGCCTTCTGCAATTTGGGCAGTGTGGCTAGAGCACTTGCTGTTCAAGACTGCGGCAAAAAAGTCGTTCAGCACCTCAGCTTTCTCCACATCCTGGGTAACCAGGTCTCCAGGCACCCTCATTTTTTAGTGAAAAAGAGCCCACAAAAAAGCAGGCTAGCATCTATGACAGGCTTAACTGGGATTAAGCACTGTAGAGCTAACACATTAAGTGTCACAGAGCTAACACAGTTAAGTGTTGCAGAGCTAACACAGTAAGTGTCACCATAGCTGAATCTTTCTCTACAGAGTAACATGATGAAGCAACATACTGGTATACTTGTGTAGCAAAACAAATACTGGATGAACCACACAATTGCGCTGACGATGCTGATTAACTGCTCTACCTTGCATTTGCAGTGACTAATTTCGCATGAAAGCATCCTAATAAGAGATGTTCAGACTGAGCTCTGCCATTACACCACAGGACAGTAAATTGGCCAGTAGGAGATCTGGGTCTTGGGAAGAGATAATGGCAAATACCTGTCAGTGTAGCTGTCAGTCTGTTTCTACTTCCAAACAACCTAAAAATGCACATTCTGGTACTATTCGCATGGAGAAACCTTGAACTCCTTCAGCATATCCAAAGACCAACCATGCAATCGGCAGTTTAGTCTGATGCTGCTAGAATTTCCTTTACATACTTCTGCCTAACACACAGCAAACCAAATCAGCTAAAAGGAAGCCTGGTCTGTAGCCTTACTTGCAAGAGTCACTATCCAGATCTGCGCCCTTTTCAAGGAAATAAAGTAGGTAATCATTCACACACCAAACATGTACAAATAAACCTTACCAGTCAGTATTTGTAACATATTTTCTGTTGTTGAATCTTAAATGTAACTATAGTGGTATTGCAGTGCCTGTTCAGGCATCCTGCAGCACTGATTACAACTATTAAAACTTGGATCTTATTGCTTACATGACTTTCGTCCTTCATCCCCCTGTCGTCTGAATTATTTTTCCGGTAATTCATTCCTTCTGGGGCTCTGGTCCTTCCACCCCTTACTCAGACTCCAGGCAAGAAGAGCTCCTCAAAGGTATTAGGGGCTGCTCAAAACCACTGAAGGTTCAGCAAAAAAAGCAGGGCAGGCCACGTGTAATTTCAGTTCGTTCAAAGGCAACACAAAACTTCAGAAGCCTGTTCCAGTTGTCAATTTTATTTGAAAGGTGTCTTCTATACATTATGTATAGAAATAAATATGAAAGGTCTATACAAATATGAACACTTAAAGAGTACCAATACTGCCCTTCATTTTTTCTACGCATCTTCCAATACTTAAAGGGACAAAACTGCATCAAACAGCCCGCATATTTGGTAAAGTTTACAAAATCTCAGATCACAAAGGTCTGTTCACATGTTACAGAACCTTTTAGACTGAGTTTTCTTTTACATATATGTAACCTCAACACAAAATATGTTCAGCTGCCTTTGAGAATTTCACAATGACATTTTCCTCGAGATGGACAGTAAGAACAAAATCAGACCTAAGTTGTAAATTCCTGCATGCTCAGATGTAGGAATTTGGCATTACCACTTTTAATGACATACTATATGAACATAGTATTTTTTCACAACATTCCGATAAATTAAAAAGGACATAACCTTGCCTTCAAATAAAACCCAAGTCATTTAAAAAAAAAACAGAATGGGCATTTGCTTTTATATAACATGAATCTTCCCCAAGCTTTAAAAAAATTAATTCAACATGACATAAAATGCTTTTGGTATAAAATAACATCATAAGTAAGCTTTTTGCAAACCATAATTTAGAGACTCTTCCCCATAAAGTGGTATTTTTCTAACATAGGGCATCATCCACACGGACTTAGGTAATCTCACTAATTTACACATTTAAAAGAGCATAAAGCATGTGCTTAAATAATGGGAGGAATGGATACTAAATTGAATACAACTGCTCTTTCCAAAGTTTTTTTTGGTTTCTTGTTTTTGTTTTTTGGTTTTTTTTTTAAATAAATGTTCAAACCCCAACAATATTGCAAGGAGGCCAAGTAATATAGCAAAAACCTCTTCTATCTTTCCTTAAGGAATTTGTCCTCATCCCAAAACTAGAGAGTTTCCATATGTTAATTTAAAATATGTAGATTAAACTTGCTGGCAATCAGAAGAAATATGCCAGACATTTCCTATTTGGACAATAAAAGCGTAGACTTTAGTTCAGGAAAAAAAATATATAGTTTACTGTAAGTGCACAAAAGCCAAATCCTGCAACTCTTTCCTGTTCATTCAATTATTTTAACTTAAAGAAAGTATATAGGATTTCCCTCTCAATCCTGGTTTAATAACTTACATCAATAACTGTGTTTGAAGAACAAGGATATTTAACAGTCTACACATGTAGTAGATTCAAAGGGTATTTGGGAACGCCTATCTGTTTTTCAAAAGAACTACCACTTTTAAAAGGAGTGCTGTACTAATTTTTTCCTTCCTTCAAAATAAAGCTTTATGAGCTCATGTTACTAAACAACGCTCTCATTTCCACTTCTTAAAGTTTAAATGCTTGGCTCATTCTTTCAAAGGAGAAACTGCAGATTCACTGAGAAGTAGACGGGACAACTCTCTCCCCATGGGCAGACAGCCAACATGGCTCAGCTTCGAGTAGCAGCTGTGCTGTAGAGTTCTCATTCACCGCGTCGGAGTGGCTTCTGTGACAAACTTCCTTGGTTCACTGCAGTTCTCTAATCAGTTTTCACTCCTGCAAACTCTTTCTGTGCTTACCGCAGTAAAACTAAGTGCTTTCCACCATAGCTTTTGCAGGCATAGCCAGAGGCTCTGCAGACCACAGAAGGCTGACTGTTTTCCAGCAGTACAAGAGTAACATCCTAAAGAAAGTTTTCATAAATGCTGTACAGCATTAATCTAGCCTGCAAAACCTAGTTACACTATGAACAAGACTTAAGACTCCAGCTCTACAGCAGGTCTAACGTTCAGGTTAAAGAGCAACCACAAGGGGGGAACCAAAAGAAAAAGACAAGAGACCACATAATAAAGACTTGCAGTGTCAGTTCTGAAGAAAAAAAAAAAAAAGAACAAACAAAAACCACCTTTTTCAAGGTAGGAATGCATTTATCAAAAACTAAGCTTTGCCCCATTACAAATGATTTGAAGTTTGGGTTCCTGAGCTTGGTACCAGACAGGGAGAAGGGCAATGGAAAGTGTCTTACATCTTAAATTATACAGCAGTATCATTAGGACAGTATTTAAAACCTATTATTAGAAGAATGAATAAGTTACAAATATGACTTTAAGAATATTACAACTAAATAGTAGTTTTTTCAGAAGCCCTTAATCTTCTTTCTTTTGTGTTTGAAATCGTTCCATTAAAGCCCTAAATATATTTCCTGGTATTTTCTGATGTTTTTCTTTTAGAGCTTGGAGTGCTGCTTTTGTCTGTAAAAGGGAAAGAAAAATTTTTGGTCAGATTAAGTCATCTTTATATTGTTCACACATTAACACATTTTCTAGGCTCTTTTTCATCCTTTCAAATGCCGCAGAACTACTGCAAGTTCAAATACTATTTTTCAATATTTAAGCCCACAGGATGTTTTTGCGGGATCACGGCCAAGAAACAGACCAAGAAACTAGTATCTTTTGTCTCTGGTAGCTGTGTTCACAAGCTCTATTAGCCATACGCAACGGTAAGAGGACAATAGAGTAAATCAATGAAGAGATCTAGATCTACAAAGCATGTCAGTGCCTGTGTGCTGTAGTGCAACTCAAACTTCTCCCTGTGCCCATTTTGCATCAGCAACACTCTTCCAGTACGCAAGACCTTTGCTTCTACACATGCTCAGAAGCAGCACTGGAAACACAGTTGTGTCCCAGCGCATTTGGCTTGTACAAAGTAATTATCCCTGCACCCAAGTCCCCTACATGACCTCGTCCTGTAAAGCATGCTTAGATCACACCTAAAATACTGCACATGACAGCAGCATTCACTTTCACTCAAAAATGCAGCAGCCAAGAAGCTAACAGCAGCCATTGTTATTACATAAAAGCTCGACGGGGAACATTCAAAACCAGGACAATATGCAAAAGCTACGGTTACGACATGCCATAACCTTCCTGTTCTGCCTAGAGAAGCACAGACTACTGAGCTCTTAAGGCTAGAGACAGCACAGGGAACTCTTCTGCCTTTTAAACCAGCGGTCAGCAAGGGGGAAACTGATTCTTGGTGCAAGCTCCCACTGTTTATATGAAATAGGCGATCAACCATTGAGTCCACTGAGAAGGGTCCTGCCCACATCTCTTCACAGATCTGGTCCCAAGTGTCTCTACAGATCTAAAATTTCTATTAGGTAAAAACCGTGAGCTTAATTTTATATATGTATATAAAACAGGAAAATGCACACTGTGCCATAGACAGAAACATGAGGTAAACCATTAAAATCACTCAGTTTTAGGGGATTCACATTCTAGGGGCCTTCTCTAGCAGAATTTGCCCTTAAGTTAGAAGCAAGAGAGGGTTGGCACAAATGTAAGATGCCAAAGCATGTCTGAAAGTCATTTAAACATACATGCTTTCCTGTTAGCCAACCATTCCGAAGTCCTGTCAGACTGAACCCCCACAAGAAACAATCAGTCTTCACAACTGGGGCATAAGATCATGCAGATAAACATTTTAAGATGTCATTTTGCAGAGATCTAATCAGACGGCAAACAGATGAGGAGAGACAACTGAACTGACACCTGCATGGTCAAAGAGAAACATTTCCTCTTCACAGATTTGCTATATTTGAAAGGCTTCATTAGTATATTTCTGAAAAGAACAAGGACCAGAACACTTTCTCTGGATGAAGTGCATATGACTTTATCAACCCAGACCAGTCTTATACGGCCGAACTTCTTTAGTCCCTAAAGCAAGTTGTTTCTCAAAGCAAATACAGGGTGCAGTACTGACTTTAACAGGTGTAGTAATAAAATGATAGCATTTAAGCAAGGCATTCAGAGTTAACCAAGTCCAAATCTTAACACGATCCACCAACTTCTATAACTAGCTCCAAGGCAGAAATCACTTCACAGAATCACAGAATGGTTTGGGTTGGAAGGCAGCTCTAAAGATCACCTAGTTCCAACGCCCCTGCCATGGGCGGCGACACCTTCCACTAGGCCAGGTCGCTCAAAGCCCCATCCAACCCAGCCTTGAACACCGCCAGGGAGGGGGCTACCACAGCTTCTCTGAGGAACCTGGTCCAGTGCCTCACTGCCCTCACAGTGAAGAATTTCTCTTTTCTAGCTAATCTACTTTCTTTCAGTTTAAAGCCATTACCCCTTGTCCTTACTTGTAAAAATATTCCAGTGTTTTCTATCAGAACAGTCAATATTTTAAATATATATATATATATAAGCATATCTATCTTACCTTCTCAGTTAGTTCTTCAGCAGTTATATTTGCTGGCTTGGCAAGTAATCCAGTCCCTGACCCAGATTCTCAAATATGCTAATGTCGGATTTCACTTGGTGTGAAATCTCTCCTGCAAAGAGCAGCTGCAAAGAGAAGCAAGAAGAGGAGCAAAACCCACTAGCTGCCTCTCTGGAGAGGAAGGGAAGGCTACACAATACAGGTTACAGTTCAGCTAGTTTTACAAGTTAGCAAAAGAAACCAGTATTGGAAGACTCTTCTGTTCAGTCCCACTGAGGTCTAGAGGATCATAAACAGTCTTAACTGCCTAAAGGATAGTCATGCTAAAATGCTGAATTGCTCTTTCAGATCACACACTGGTCACAGTGAAACAATACAAAAAGAGAGAAAAACCAGCTATTTCAATCAACTCTAAGAAGATACATCTTTTTCCCACATGCCACCTTCTAAGCATCTAGCCCAAATGCACCCAGAACAGATTCCTTGCAGAGTGGGTACTACTACTCTCTGTCAATTTTAGACAAGAAATTCCTTTAAATGAGGCATTGGCATAAGAAAATCCTTACTAAGACGTGGAACATTCCGTACACAACCTGTAAGAACAAAGAATATCCCAAAACTACTGAAACTGCAGCAACGCCTCCAGTGATCAACAGAATTAAATTCCTCTTGCACCTCTGCCGCAGAATACAAGTAACATGAATGATTTGGTCTTAAATTTCTGCTTGTTTGGGAAGATTCTCCTGAACATAGCAACAATTAATTTCTGCACTATCTGACAAATGTATGAATTATTCTGCGAGTCTAAATCTGATGCCTTGGCTTTCCCCATGCAAAGCCAAGCTTTCTCCAAGCTTTTAATTAGAGGGGGAAAGAAACAAAACTGTTTTGCACTGCAGTCCTCTGATGAAGATGATGATGCCATACTTGAGGCCGAACACATGGCGTGGAGGAGGCTGTTCAGGCCCCTTCTGCTTCATACTAAGTTGGAGAATATAAAAAAGGGTGTTTAACACTAGCAGATCCGCAGAGATGTGAGTATCTAATCATCCCAGAGGTGGGCCCTTCAGACATGTACCCATCTACTCCTGCTCTGGCTGAAAGTCCCAAAGAGAGGAGGAGTGAGAGCAGGCAAATGCAAGGTTTTGTGCGGAACCACAGGTTTTGTGCTGAATAGTAAGCCAACTATACACTAAATATATTTCAAACCACTCAAAGCTTAAGTAAAGGTGTAAGCACAGAGCTTTAGGAGGACGTTTAAAGAAATAACGTGTCAGTTACAAACCCCTGTTTGCTTTGCTTCTTAACAGACAGCAGAAAACTTACAGCTGGCCTAGCAGACTAAGCAGAGAAAAACAGTTGCCTTTTTCTGGCTCCCTTTTCCTTTCTTCTGCTGCTTCTCTGAAGGCACACTCTTGTGTGGAGAGCAACTTTGATGAGACAATACCATATCTAATGCTGATATTAAATCCTAACAATTTCCCTGAACTCTACCAGAGAGTAAACCTTCAGAAACAAGGCTGTGTCAGATCTCAACTTCCTATAGGGATTATTTCTACAGAGATATGCTAAACACATATGGAAAAATAAACTAAAAAAATAATAGAAAATATCTTACTTATTCCTCCTAATGTCCTAACGCCTTCTCGAACATTTTGTGTAAACATAGGAATGATGGGCTAGGAGGGAAAAAAAATAATTTAGAATTTGATGAAGATAGCACTATCTGAAAAACTTCTACCTCACTTAAACCCAACATGAAAATTAATTTCAGAAGTGTTTGTCAGACAAGGACATAGAGGGAGCAAAACACAGACTCATAAGTTCTTCTGCCACTTTCTGCCATGAGGTTTCAGGCTGGAGACTACCATGAGATTTCAGCAAGTCACCTTTTCAGCAAATCCATTTTCTCCAAGCACTGCAGGATTTCAGAACCTATAGAGCATTTAGGCGTCCCCTCCTGTAGCAGTGCTTGCACATTTGTGACTTCAGTGGTTAAACCTCTCGCCTGATTTGTAGTTGTGCTCAAAGGGAAGAATTTACTGGACTGGGAACTTAAACTTGTCCGATTCTTCTCTGTTATGCCGATTGTACTGCTTCACACATGACGTGTCATATTCAATACATATCCACAATTTATTTTGGCTGATGAATATTTGGAATGGTGCTAATATTTCAATTTTTTATTGCTGTTTTTGAACTCGCAAGCAGCTGTCAAGATTTACAAGAACTAGCATGGGGTCAACTACTACACAAAGTTTTTTTAATGTCATTTTATAGTATGTACTCACTGTACATAGCATCATCAAAAATCCAGAAGTCTTTATGGGATTTTCAGATTCTTTCACACTTATTTTAAACAAGCATGGAGATGAGCTAGTAAATGAAACTTTTCAGACAGGTATGAAGTTGATTTTTTGGGGAAAGAAAAAAAGTCTGTAAATAATCCAAGGCAACTACAGAGAATAAAAAAAAGTGTAGTTGCCTAAACTGAATGGTAACGAATTTCTTTATTGTAGAACCATCTTCTTTGGAACATTTTAATTTTGACACACAGGTACAGATTTTTGCATGTGCCAAGTTTGTTTATATGAGAAATATTCTGGCAAACAAAGTGCTGAAATGAGACAACCTCAAGAAGCTGAAGGTCCCAGTTTCAGACACCTTTTTCTGATGTTTTAGACACATTTTTCTTTCCATGAGGAGTTATGCTCATGATTAAGGGTGACTTAAAGTTCATCTTAAACCTAAATAAAAGTATTTTTCGCACTTGTAGCCTGCCTCTAACACTGCTCCTATTCTACTGCATCTCTCAGGGGGTTTTTTTGGGCAGGGAGATGAAGCTGCAAGATCTTTGTGGGTGCACAAAAGGAACTGAACACACATTCTATAAAATAAATATAACTAGTATACCCATAGCTAAATCTCAAGTATGGCTTTTCATATGCTATTACAATACATTAGTAAAATCTAAATCTGTTTAAAATATCCTGTATAAACTGTGTTAACTTCCTCCTGAGAAAAGTGACACACACTTAAAATTGGGTCTTAGAAGTATTCTATTTCTGTATAAAATCCAGAAATTTAACTAGTATCTATGACAGTACCTAAATCTAAAACTCTTGGCGTAAGACTTACTTTCAAATTAGGTCTATGCAGACCTATGCACACATCTTTTAAGTACAAATATAGAACGAAAGGGACTCTGAAAGGATTATTAAAATAGCTGTAATTCAAATATATCATACACCTGTGTGCCTTTCACAGTTGGTCCTGTATAAATAATTATCTGCCTGCTGACCAAGCACAATGCTATCTACTAGAATTGAAGAGAAACAGTTCACATTAGTGAACAGCATCTCCTGCTGCTGCTGTACGCCCTAGACATCCCTTACAACCATAAAAATGGCAATACAGTACACAGTGCCAGGGAGTCTATACTGTGCTGGCTTCACAGTACACTTCACCACAGGGGAAACAGAAATGCTGATGTACGGTTGCTTCCCAACCATCCTGGTCAGCGGTTGAGCCATCACAACCCTGACCAGATATGTGTAAAACAGCACAAGCCTGCCATGCAGAAACCACCCTGGACTTTATCTCTTATTTTTTTAAGCTCTGGATTTCCTGATCACACTGTTCCTAGCTGACCTCAAAACCTTCTCACTGAAAGCAACCAAAGTCTTGAAATGTAGTTATAAGAGAAAGTAGACCATACTCATGACACTCAGCAATGTAAAACCAAATATATGATAATCAAAACAGCCTTCCCTGGAAGAAAATACTAATACGTCAGCATTCTTTGATTCTCCTCTGATCTGTCATACTTACCACTTTTGCATCAATGGCCACCCGAGCAAAGCCCTTCCGATTACCCCAGATAATAGTATACATTTCATCACTAAAGAGTGCTTCCCGAACTCCACCTGGGGCAACGGCTATCAGACAGCCCTTCTTCAGAGCGTTGACACATTCTTCTTTTGGTCCATGTATAATTCCATGTACATCAAGTAATAATTTAACACCTGTAGGGTAAGATAATATCAATTCAGAAAGCGTTATTTCATACTACCATTCAGTACAGATTCCCAACACAGAACACAACGGCTAAAACTTACTTATCTAATAACCTGTAACCCCAAACCAAAGATGTTTCTAGAGAGACTGAAGCATTAAGTCCCACTTATAAATTTTGATCTAAAAAGTTGAACATTTAGGGTTTTCAGTGAGGATTTTTGTCATAGTAAAGTCAGGTGCTATCTCACAATCAGGACTAAACTGGAAAAAAAACGGCAAGCACTCTGTACCATCTTTCACATGTCCCTCCAAAGGAGTTAAGTTGGCTCCAGGGCACTGTCTCCTTGCCCAAGCTTCACTTGTCAAACATAGCACAGTCCTAATAAAGTGTAACAAGAGAAAATACCAGCAAATTGTTGTGGGTTTTTGTGTTGTTAACTTTGGCAAACAAAGAGCCATCTGTGCACAAGAAGGATGGCAAAGAAAATGCAGCACTCCCTGTGCTACAGATCACTGCGGGAATTGACTCCCTGGCTCAGCCTGCAAGTACCCGGATGGCCTTTCACACACAGTGGCATTTGGCAAGCCTGGACTGCCTATATTCATCATAGATTACGATTTTTCACTTACTGAAGTTTTTAACTGTAAGTTACATAAATTCCTCATATCATCTTGAATTTGAGATGTCATACTGACCCTAATCTTCAAGAAACAGCAGAACATCAAAAATTTGCTCACAAGCATCAAATGGCCCCATACCTGATCAATTTAGACAACTAGTGTAATGCAAAAGAACATAACCAGCATAAACCTCTGTTTTCAGGAAGTCAATCACGTTCACTTGATTCAATAAATTTTAGATTTACACAGTATTTAGGAGCACTGCATATCAAAATGGGAACTTCAGATGACTGAGCAGTATGGGAAACATTACTCCTCTTCCTTGAAGTTTGCCACTGAGGCAAACAACCTTATCAGCCATTACAAGGACACAGAACTGATTTAGTTGAGTTTGCCCCTCAATAACAGATCTTCATTTTTTAACCTTATGTTAACCATGAACAGTTGTTACTATGAACACACATTTGTTACACACACATAGACACTGAATAAGAGTCCAAATATAGTTGAGAAGATAGAGATCTGCCTTCTCTTATAGCCCGCATAAACTAAGGGCTTGGGAAGGAGAGCACGAGGCAGCATATCATCAGTTTATTCTTAACTCAACTTCGATCTCTAACTCCTCTTTGTAGCTGGTGTGAATATAATTACTCCTGATTGGTATCTATACACAATCGGGATCTGCCAGTAAACATGACAACAGAACACAAGCTCCCTTATACCTGTCTTACATTCTGCTGTGCCTGCCTCACACGCTGCTGCTGACACTAGCAGTCTTCATCTAGTAGCACTTGCACAGAGGACATCTGAAACAGAGTTTTCTGAAAGTAATTTAATTTCTCTCAGGTGCTTTGTTTGTGGGATCTTAAATAGCTGGATTTTACAACATTTTACATTCCCAAGCTAATTAAAGCTCTCTGGAATGTACTTGGTGGTAGGAATCTGCCTGTCCCTAAGCCCTTTCTGTCAGCAAGTTCAGGAGAGGAACAAAACAGTCATGGGAAGCATAGAGAGTGAGCAGGAAAAGTGACTCCAAGGAAGCAGAAGCTGTGAAGGTGGTTTTCCTTTCTGCATTGGACACACTGGGGCAGGGGGAGGGGGCAGGGCGAGCATGTGGTGCATGATAGAGCAAAACCCTGAGTCTGCCCAGTTCAAGGGCAAAAAAGAAGAACAGAATATAGACAGAATACAGGCAAAAATTTGTAATACAGAATAGCGGTGGGGTGGGGTTTCAAGTCTTCACAAAATTTCTCAGTCGTATTTCCCTCCTTAACTTTTAGCATAAACTTTATATTGTGAGCTGTACCTCACAGCCTAGCCAGCAGGTCATACATTCCTATCAATACATCTGCTCCAGCAGCAAAGAGGAAGAGCCTGGCTTCATCAGAGCAGCAGAGAGACAGACAACAGCACAGTGGCCCTACAGGGACAGCCAGGGTACTCCGTGCCCAAGGCAAATGCCACCAAGGAGTCAGAAGAAACATTTGGGTAGTACCTGGCTGTTGCATGAACGTGACCAAGAATCTATTTTTCCGGTTTAAACAAACAAACAGAAAAAAACCCTCTCAAAATTATCTTTAACACAGTTTTTCAGCCTTCCAGAACATGTAGGGATTCTAATTTTTCCAAATACCAAGAAGTTAAAACCTAATTTTGTTCCACAGTTCAACCTGGAGTCTATCCTTTGCCCCAGCACACTCTTCACCTATTCTCCACAACACTGTGTCCATATCCATGTTTGAAAACCCTTTGGAGAGTAGTCAGTAACGCATTTAACACTTAAGTGCACTATATGCATTTCTCTAACTTAGCCCCAGTGAATGCAAGTTAGGGGCTGTCAGCTACCTAGTAGCAAGATGGCAAGCACATCACCTTTCTTCTACAGTTGAGCTTTAGGACCACAGACAGAGAGGAATCATTTAGACCACGAATCCAACCTTCCACAATTGTAGGTAACCATGCATGTATACCTGCAGAACATCTAGCCCACAGGACACTTTGCAACTCCTTGTGTATGCAACAGACAAGAAGCATGTTCCTCTGGGACATTACAGGAGAGGGACTGTCTGAGATCCCTAAAACAGCAGGCAACCTTTTAAAGAGGGCTCCCAGATGACTCTAGAAAGCAAACATGGCCCATACCACAGGACAGGGTGATGGAGCAGAACACAAGTGAAATCCCAGTCCTCACTTCACTCTTATTTTCTCTTAGCTTAACCTTAGAGAAATCAATGTATTCCTGATCATTACACAGCTAAGAATCTAAAAGAACTAGAAACCATTGGAATGTGTTTTTCTTCTGTGACTAACCTCCAGTATTTAAAAGAAAAAAGAAAAAGAGAAGCCACAGAACCATATTTCTTATCCTTCTGCCCCCAAACGCAAGCAACAGAAGCATACATAGTATTGACACAGTATGAATTGAGACAATGAAATAATATCCTTTTGCATCAACATGAAAGATACATTAGGGAATGTTCAAAATGAATCTCCAGATATCTATAGGAGGTCTCCTGTTAGGTTAGACTCCTTTCCATAAGTCATCAAGCTGTATCTTTCAAGACTAAGGAGTATGGAGAGGCATGTTTGGCCCCTTGTAGGCTCATGCATCCCTTAGGAGGTACAGCACGCTCCAGTTAATTGCAGTTAATTCAGGACAGCAGTGCCCAGTGCAGAGGACGCAATGAGACTGCGTACTGGCAATCGCATACTGGCATGGACCCAAGATTCAGATTCACAGGACAAGCCACTCCTCACAGCTATTCATAGTAGATTCAATAATTATAGAAACTGAAGGATCATTACATTATCTAATCCAAGTGTATCTAACAGGCTACACACTCTTCAAACCCACCCCCGACCCCACTCCCCCATTTCTCCTGCATTAAGCATAATAACTTTTGGTAAACTAAAACTTCTTCTGAAAAGGCATCCAAGTTCATCTGAAGACCGAAACAAGATTAGGCAGTCTTAGTGCTAGCATAAAATTATGGCAGTCTTCCTGGTTTGATTCACAAGAGAAGAGGCATCCATTTGGGCTGCCAGTCATAGATTGTTGTGCAGATTTTGAAACACAATCCAGAACGTTATCCAGGCTCTTTGGGCTTGTCTTCCCTGAATAGCCTTAATTCTTTCACTGAAACACGAATTATGTAGGTTGGAAGGGAACTCTGAAGGTCGTCTAGCCCAGCCTCCCACTCAAAGCCAGTCTAACTAGATCAGGTTGCTCAGGGCCTCACCCAGCAGAGTTTTGAAAGTCTCCAGGGATGGAGATTCCCCAACTTGTCTAGGCAATCTGTTCAGATGTCTGATCACCCTCATGGTAAAACACCTTTCCACACACCTAATCAAAATTTCCTATGTGGCAACTTGTCTCTGTTGCTTCTCCTTCTATTTCTGTGCACCTGTGAGAAGGGTCCGACTCCCTCCCTTCTGCATCCTCCCATTAGGTCGCTAAAGACAGCAATGTTAAATTCCCCGACTCTTCTCTGGTACAGACCAAACAAATCCAGTTCTCTCGGCCTCTTCTCACACACTGTGTGCTCCAGCCCCACATCATTCACCAAACACACTCTAGTGTGTCAGTGTCTGTTTTGTACTGGGAAGTCCAGAACTGGACACCACACTGCGAGATGTGCTTGCACAGGCGCCAAGCCAAAGGAAAAGTAGTTTTCACTCAACCTGCTGGCTACATTCACGCTACAACAGGCTCACCGTGCAGTTCACCTTCTTTGCTGCAAGGACACGCTGCCGACTCACATTCAACTTGTCCACTAGAATGCCAAAGTCCTTTCCTGCAGAGCCACCTTCCACCCAGGGTACTGTCGCATGGGATTGCTCCATCCCAGATGCACAACTTCACATTTGCTTTTTCTGAACTTTGTGATGTTTCTACCAGTTCATTTCTGTGAAGGCACTCTAAATACCAGCTCTACCCCCCAGTGTACTGACTGGTCCCCCAGTTTGGTATCATCAGTGAACTTCCTGCACGCACACTCCAACCCCCAATCCAGGTGTGTAATAAAAACATTAAGCACTGCTGGTCCCAGTGTCAATCCCTGAGGAAAAAACCAGCTGTTAGCTAGGCATTGTCCTGCTGACCCCACCTCTTCGAGACCAGCCATTCAGCCAGACGTCTCTGCGATGCTACTAAACGATATTTGGGGGACTCGTAAGTATACTCACACTTAGAACCTTATTTTAAAGCAGAAATGGAGAAAAACAAAGTAATCTCCCATTTAATAAACAACTGTGCATAAGTATTAATAGATATAATATGGAGTCAAATCTAAATTACAAAATAGGTTATGTCAGCTGTATGCAAAAGATTTGATAATCAACTGACAAATTCTAGTCTGTTGGCAAAAACAGTTGTAGCGGCAAAGCCATGCTGTCACCAGCACAAAAAAGTTCAGTTTTTAAGGATTAAGCTGAAATAAAACTATACTGCCAAAAGGACAGTTTTCTGATACAAGTTGTTTCCACTAAAAGTATCAGTGCACTACAGAACACTCTTGCAAATTCACAAAATGAACTACAAAGTTTTTAGTCACAAACTGAACTTGGGAAAAGAACTGGGTACTACTGTATTTCACACGCACAAAAACCAAACCCCTCACATAATTAATTTCACCAGTCAGCAGTGTTTTTCACTAGGCTGTCCAGCCAAAATCTTGCCCTAAACAGATTTTTTCATTTTCTTCATGCTTCACCTCATGTTTCACACAGACTTGTTGGACACTTCCTATCGCTTTCCTCCAAAAAAGAATCTACATGGAACAGTCTTCCTGGGTACAGGTTCCACTGCCCACCACACTTAGCTGAGAGGGATTCAAAAATGTATCATCCCCCCAGACCAACACTGTCAATTTTAAGGGCATTGCTTCCAAACAGTTTATTTCTTAATCAGCTTACACCACTCATTCTGCCTATATTAACAAAAAGAGAAACCTCTTATTGAAGTCCTTGCTACCTATTAGTCCAGAGACGACTGTTTCTCCTGTGATCTCTTTGTTTCTAAACACCTTAGAGTTGTTGGAAGGTGTTGCCCAGCCAGGAGTATGATCCATCCTTGCATGGGCCAGTCTCAAACTCATTCTTATTTGTAAAGAACGTATTAGAGACAGCTGTACTCAGCACTTTCACTAAATTTGTCTGAATGTCTGTTCTGAGAGCTGTGTTCCTGTGGCACAATTTTTATTAACTCCATTGAAAAAAAAAAAAAAAAGAAAAAAAAGAGGTGAGTTCTCAAACTAATTGTTTTTAATGAAATATGTTACCTGGTAACCTAAAGACGAAATGATCAGCTATTGCCCTGCAGTATATCTTCCTTTGTATAAAAAGTCTAGCCATGAAATAGATGCAGTCAGCAGGAGTAGCTCCATGATAAAACACAACAAGACCTGGTCCTTCAGGAATCTTTTCGGCACCATGAAGTTCATAACCTGTTAGGAGTTAAATGCATAACAGCAGTCAAAGTCTGATACCATTCTACCCCAAAGAAACTAGCTTGCAGCAAGTTAGCGAACTGAAACCCATAGCTACTGAGAAGTGGTAAGAGCAAAGTGACTGCTAAAAAGTCAAGAGGTGACCTGGAGCATTTACCAAGTTGCTTTCACAGGAAAAACAAGTTTCATTTAAAGCAGAAGAGCCACATTTAAAGAAAAAAGAACAACAAAAAAACCCTAAAAACAAAACATCGAGTCTCACTGTCTTGAACTATATAACTTTTCCTTATTTTTTTCAGTTTACTGTCTTCAAGGCTGAGAGTCCTCTGAATCAATCATTCAAGAGAAATCAAAATTAGGATTGGGGTGGTGAAACACAACTATTTCAAGCTATTATTTACCTTTCAGAGTTCATTGCCACCAGTAACTGTTTAAGAAGATTTGACGTGACAACATCCATTCACATGTCTCCTTTAACTCCAGGGTATGGAGCTTATCTTTTATTTCCCTCAGAGTCATGCTTGCTCCATTTTTCCATCACTAAGTATTAAAAGCTATTTGGGGCTTTATATGCTTAACTGAAACATACATAAAGACACACAATTTTCTTCCTGAACTTACATTTCTAATTCAGTTAACAGTGCACAATATATTCAGTTAACAGAAAATATCAAAATGCACCAGTGTAGAACATGTTCAGTTAATACTGAGCACTATTGTTACACTATCTTGTTTGTGTGTTTATTTTAAAAAGTAAACAAACAAACAAAAAACAGAAAACCAAGCCCTGTGACTTCTTCCAAAGTTAATCAGGCCTGCAATTCCCATTCTATTATTTATTTTTTTTTAATTCTGAAGGTACTCTTGGCTCGTCTCCTTCTGTTTTACTTTCTTGTGGAGCTGCAACATATTGCAAGCATATCATCTGTACAGTCCCATGTGACCCCTAACTGTGCTCCTTGCTGGCCAGTGGTACCAGAATGGTACCTACATCTAGCATTTGCACAATATATGTAAAGTTACAGGTACCACACATCAGTTCAGGGGTTTAGTTTTGGGTTTTTTGTTCACAGGGTTGATTTCGGGGGTGGGG